CTCTCTCTCTCTCTGTCTCTCTAAGTATTTGTCTGTTTTTGCCTAATTGCCTTGACTTGAACCTCCATCACAATATTGAATAGAACTGAGAGTGACTCTCATTGAGAATGGACTTCTTTGTCCTGTGACTGGTCTTAAAGAGAAACCATTCTGCCTTTTACCACATGGCAGGCAGAATAATAGCCCCCCAGAGCTGTTCATATCCTTATCCTAGAACCTGCAAATATATACCTTTGTACGGCAGAGGGGAATCAAGATTGCAGATTGCTAATCAGTATGTAATGGGGAGATTGTCTTAGGTTACCCAGGTGAGCCAAATGTAATCACAAGTCGGGGGGTAGAAGGGGGTAGCAGAGGAGGGAGAACCAGAGAGAAGGCAGTGTGAGATGGACTTGGCCCAGGGTTTTTTGGCTTTGAAAATGGAAGAAAAGGATTGTGAGCCGAGGAGTGTGGGTGGTCTCTAGAAGCTAGGAAAGGCAACGAAACAGATGCTGCTTTAGAGAATCCAGAAGGAATACAGCACTCCCGACATGTTGATTTTAGCCCAGTGAGATCTATGCCAGACTTCTGACCTCCAGAACAGTACGATAATGAACTTGTATTGGTTAAGCCACTAAATTTATGAGGTGACTGGGTGGCTCAGTTGGTTAAGTGTCTGGCTCTTGATTTGGGCTCAGTTCATGATCTTGGGGCTGCTTAGGATTCTCTTCCACTCCCTTTCCTCTTCCCTTTCCCTCTTTCTCTCTCTCTCTCTCTCAAAAAAAAAAAAAAGCCACTAAATTTGTGATAATTTGTTACAGCAAGAATGGAAACTAATACTCACCATTAAGTATAATGTTAGGCGTGGTTTTTTCCACTGATGTCTTTTTTTTTTTTTTAAAGATTTTATTTATTTATCTGTCAGGGACAGAGGGAGAGAGAGTGAGCGAGCACAGGCAGACAGAGAGGCAGGCAGAGGCAGAGGGAGAAGCAGGCTCCCTGCCGAGCAAGGAGCCCAATGTGGGACTCGATCCCAGGACCCTGGGATCATGACCCGAGCCAAAGGCAGCCGCCCAACCAACTGAGCCACCCAGGCGTCCCTCCACTGATGTCTTTAATCAGGAAGTTCTTTTCTATTTGAGGGATTCTTCTTGCGGGTTTTAATTGAAATGGTTTTGGATTTTGCTAAGTGCTTTTTCAACATCTGAGATGATTATGTGGTTTTTGTCCTGTATTCTATTGACATGGTATCAGATATTAATTGAATTTTACATGTTAAACCAACTTCGCTTTACTGAAATAAATCTTACTTGGTAATTTATCCTTTTTGTATGTTGCTGGATTCACTGTGCTGGCATTTTGTTGAGGACTTTTATATGTCTGTTCATAGGGTCTCTGGTTTATATTGGCCTGTGGTTTTCTTTTCTTTCTTTGTCTTTGATATCAGGAGAATCCTGGACTGAGAATGATTTGGGAAGTGTTGTCTCCTCTTCCGTTGTTTAGAAGAATTTGTAAAGAATGCGAATTAATTATTTAAGTGATAGAATTTCCCAGTGAAGTCATCTCTTTCGGAGTTCATTGAGCTTCTCGTACATGCATAATGTTTTTCATCGACTTTAGAAGGTTTTCAGCCAATTTTTCTTTGAATACTTTCCTGTTCCTTTTCCTCTCTTCTCTCTCTTGGTACCCCCATGATATGTATGTCCCACTTTTCTCGAAGGCTCTGTTCATTTTTCTTTGTTCCTTGTCTCTCTGTTCTTCTCATTACATAGTCTCTATCAATCTCCCTTCAAGTTTGCTCATGATTTTTGCGAGCTCAGGTCCACTGTTGAGCCCTTACAGTGAATATTTCATCTTGGTTATTATTCTTTCCAATTCTATAATTTTAGTTTGGTCTTTCAAAAAATATAATTTCTAACCCTTTGTTGGCATTCTCTCTATAAAATATTGCCATCATACCTTCCTTTACTTCTTTAAGTATGATATTCTTATGAAAAAAATTTTTATTTAAATGCTATTTAATTGGGCGCCTGGGTGGCTCAGTGGGGTAAGCCTCTGCCTTCGGCTCAGGTCATGATCTCAGGGTCCTGGGATTGAGCCTGCATCGGGCTCTCTGCTCAGCGGGGATCCTGCTTCCCTCTCTCTCTGCCTGCCTCTCTGCTTACTTGTGACCTCTCTCTCTCTCTGTCAAATAAATAAATAAAAATAAAAATCTTTTAAAAAATAAATTCTATTTAATTAACATATACTGTATTATTAGTTTGAGAGGTAGAATTTAGCATGATATTCTTTAGCTCTTAGAACATATTTATATAAACAGACAGGTGGATAGAACAGAGCAAAACCCTATATCCTGAGTGTATTTTGATCACTTTGTTAGAAGTAACTGCATCTCAAAATTGTAAAGAAAGAAAAACCTACATATATATAAAAATAAAATTAAACACACTGAAAGGATAGCATGTATCTGTAAAGATGAAAATTTAAAAAGACTTTAACAAAACTAAATGAAGAAAAGGAAGGAGGAGGAGGATGGGGGGAAGGAGGAGGAGGAGAAAAGGGGGAGAGAAAAAAGAGAATATAATCAGACAGGTGAAGAGAACAGAGCCATACACCAGATTCTGGGTGTATTCTGGTGTGTGAGAAGCAACTGCATCCCACCGTTGTAAAGACAATAAAACATAATAGTAGCTGCTTTGCAGTCTTTGTTAAGTCTGACATCTGGGTGCTCTCAAAGGTACTTTCTGCGGCCTGCGTTTTTCTTCTGTATGGATCACACTTCTCCTGTTTGTTAGCATGTCTCATTTTCTGCTGCTGTTGGAACTTAGAGATCATACTGCAGCCGCGCTGGGACAGCGACTCCTCCACGGCTCCTTCTTGGGCTGTTTGCCTGTATTGTCTGCTTGTGTCATGCCTCGGATGGACTATGCCAAGAAAGTCTATTTCCCTCCGTGTCAGCTTCCGACAGCGCTCCACAGGAGGTGCAGACTTGGACAGTGAGTGATCCACTGGGATGACATGGTTTTCATCAGGGTTCTCTTCGGCTTTCTCTGATCTCTCTGTTAAGCTCTCTGCCTCGGTTGGCATCACCCAGTTCTTAACCTCCACCAATTGCAGGCTTAGTGGCTGTTACTTTCAAGAACTCCTGGGGCACATAATTATCGTACTTGCTTCTGCAGACCCAGCTCCAGCAGCGTGGGTGGCTTCTCCAGTCCACGTGGCAGTGTGTGTAGGCTTTTGTAGATGGCTGTTCTAGCTCCAGCTCCTGCAGTAGCTCTCCCTTCTAGTCCCCTTGGGTAGTTCCATTTCAGAGTGCCTCCAGAAAGACACCACCCTGTGAATGAATGGCTTTCCCTAGGACCTGGTGGAAAGGGGGTGGGTAGAAGATTGTCAACAAATTTTGGGGGTGAGGAGGCAGGATAGATGTCAGCAAGTCCCATTGGTACAGCAAAAGGGAAACTTCACTGCCACCTCAGTGAGTCTTGCCATGCCTCTCCGACAAGCTCTAGACCTCAGCCCTATGGAGTGCAAGGTGTGTTACCTCAGCCCTCAACAAGAGGGAATACTTGTTTCTTGTATACGTAATTCCTATACACTTTTGAGCTCTTTTTACTTCTTGTTAGCTGATCTCTTGTGACTCATGTACCCTATTACAGTTAATAATTCCTTATGTTAACTTTCTTTACACACCATAGTATGGGTGTTGGCAAAGCCACACGTGCTCCCGATGCTTGCCAGGTGAGCCCCCAAGCAAAGGCAGTAGAGCCTGCTCTCCTCAGATGTCTCTCCAGCACCCTTTCCTGACAATGCCTCCTTGCCAACTGACAGAGGAAAAAGACTGAAATTAGCAGGTCTATTTTTACAAAGCAGACAATAATTGCATTTGGACCTGAGAGGCAATCAATCGAGAATGGGCAAAAACTCAGAGGTCCATCTGTGGCAGAAGGAATAAAAAGTTGTGGCGGATTCATACAACAGAATGTTATGCAGGAATGAGAATGAATGAACTGATCAATATAGACGACAATGTGGCAGATACACCCATTTATATAAAAGTCAGAAATCAGCCAACTGAGTTTGGCTGTTAAAGGAACAACAGTGGCTACCTTTAGTGGTTAACCACTAAAGGTGGGGAGGGGGCGGTGGTGATGGGGAGAAGGGACCATCTGCATGCTAGAGATGTGCTATATCCTGGTTTAAGTGCTGGTCTTTGGGTGTGTCCACTTTGTGAAAATTCTTTGAGCTGTATATTTAACGATTTATGTTAGTCTTACATATGCCTGGGTGTGCATACATTTATTTATTATAGCTAAATAAGATTTGCTTGACAAAGAGGATATTTGCACACTCAAATTCTTTCCAGCATGATTCACAATTCTTCAGCTAATTATTATCTCCTTCTTTTAGAGGAGAAGCTCAGAAGCAGAGAACAGATATAACTTATCTAAGGCCACAGAGCCAGCAAGCCGAAAAGGCAGGATTCAAAGCCAGCCAGGCTGGCATCTGGGTACATCCTCTTGACCCTCCACTACGCTGCCTCCCCCCGCAGCCTAGACTCATGTGTCAGTCAAAGTGGGGCTGGGCCCACTAACTGGATAGAGATGTGCTTTGCCCACTGTAGCCACCCTCTGGCGAGGAAGCCTGGCTGGGAAAGCTGGCTGCCTTGTATTCTACAGTTGAAAAATCAGGCCATAGAGGTCTGGGCAACCATGTCATGCCCAACTGGCAGGGACTGTTTGAGCCTGATCTAGCCTAAGCCTTTGCAAAACCCATCTACCGAGACACCCACTGATGGGCATGACTGGTTTTCTTGGTGCCAGCATTTTTCAGAGAAGTAGTCCTTCTAGCTCCTATTGGCTCAGCTGAGTTTACATGTAAGAAGACAGGTCAGGGCACTGTTTCAAGGCTAAGCCCCAAAACCGTGGAAGGCAGGAGACAGCTGATATAACCAGTCCAGGTTCTCCTGACACAAGCTCTCAGGCTGGCTCCACAGAGGAACAGCTCCTCAAAGCATTGGGAACATGCTTATCCTGGGGCTGGCACTTCTGGGCAGCTTTTTTTTTTTTTTTTAAAGATTTTATTTATTTATTTGACAGAGACAGAGAGATCACAAGTAGTCAGAGAGGCAGGCAGAGAAAGAGGAGGAAGCAGGCTCCCCGCTGAGCAGAGAGCCCGATGCGGGGCTCGATCCCAGGACTCCGAGACCATGATCTGAGCCGAAGGCAGAGGCTTTAACCCACTGAGCCACCCAGGTGCCCCCTGGGCAGCTTTTTTGTAGGTGTCTTCCTCTGGGCTGTCCTTCAGCACTTCCTCACAGCAGACATCCCCTCTACATTGCAACATCCCACCAAGTTCAGATTTCTGCACTGCATGTTCCTGTACATATTCATTTTGGTGAGTTTGCTCTCAGGCTCTGTAATGGGTTGGGGCTCCCTTCCTCTCCCCCTGTACCTTGCCCTTCCTTTCCTCTTTAGACTCTCCCAAGGCAGTCTTTGCCACACTCTCTTTTGTGTCTGTGTTTCTGTTTCCCTTCCTCTTCCCTTCCTCTCTCCCACCTGCCCCCATTTCCTTCCTTCCAACCTCACTTACTGAGTGCCCATCCCTGGGCTGCTTTCTGAGGATTCGAAAAGGATTTCAGACCCAGTCCCTTCCTTCAGAGGGCTTTCAGCCTAACAGGGAATGAACTGGCTTCAGCCACAGCATCTTTTGACCTTGGTGCCCTTAATTGCCTATAGGTCTTCTCTCCCCTGCATAGAGTGTAGGTTCCTTGAAAGCAGGGACTGCCATCCACCTTTGCAACCCTGGTCATAAGCACAGACCTGCTGCCTAGTAGGTGCTTTCCATTTGCTGATCAAATCATAAGTGAATTCACCCAGCATGTCAGAGCGGCCATGCTGGCCAGGCTCTGAGCCAGGGCCAGAGGTGTGGACAGGCCAGTCTGTGCCTAGAGCTGCAGCATCTGGTAGGAGACAGCCCACTGGATTCAACCCCGATATCCTAATACTGGGGGACAACAGCCAAATAGTTCACGCTGCTTACCTGGTGGGAGGTGCAGAGGTAGAGCAACTGTAGAAAGAGGAGGACAGAGGCCTCGGTAAGGAGCCGAGGCTGCCACCAGCCTGCCAGTGTGTGCATCCCAGCCCTGGCTATGGGATCTTGGGTCATATACTTAACCTTTCTGTGTGTGCTTCCTCACCTGTGAAAGGGAAACAACAGTGTCCATCTCATGAGGTTGGTGAAAGACTTAGATGAAGTCATTAGGGCTCACTGTGTTTTGTGAAGAAGTAAAATATCTCTCTGTGCTCCTGGAATGTTCCACTGTGGATATGCATGACTCTCCGAGATATGCAAAAGTCTAGTTTATAAGTACAGAAATGCTACTGGCTCCAGGAAGACAGGCTGAGGGTGCAAAGCTCTCATCCCTCTTATTTATCCTGGCCATGCACTTCGCCTGTCTCAGACCAGTGGGTGATTTCACATGGAACTACAGGGTAATGTGAGACCCAGGAAAGTCCAGATCTTTCCAACCTTCAGTGTTTTTTCAAGAGTCTCTCACAAGCTGCCAGCCCTGCTGATGACCGCCGCGCGGGGGCGCTCGCAACACGGGCAGTGATAGACCTTGGAAGTAACACAGCCAGTTATTCTGCCAGCAAGAGGGGCTTATCCAGGAAGAGCAGAAGAACTGCAATGGGGGACATCCAAGTCATGGCAAACCACAGACAAATCCGGAGATCAGAGGACAGAAACCCTTCTTTACCAAGAAGCAGAGGAGTGGGAGGGATGCTTTGAGTTAAAGTCCCTTGGAGGAAAGATGGAGGCCCGGGCTGGGATCATTTCTCATTGGCTGAGTCGTGGTGTCTTCTTATTGGCTGAGCTTGTTGCCAGGTGACGAGAAGTTCTTCCTTCCTCCTGTTGGAGGAGCAAAGCAGGCTTCTCGTATGGGACGTTGAGCTAAGTCTTCCCAAGGGTCTGCAATGGACTGCACCTCCCGAGGGCTCCCCCTGCTGGCTTCCCCCTGCATCTTCCCAGAGGTTTCCGTGCCCGGTTTCACAGATCTGAAGACACTTGGGACATCCCATCCTGGGCCCTCCAGCACTGGCTGGGTGCCCCCAGGACACACTGCCCATCACGGCGTGCTGCTGCTGAAGAAAACGATGCCCAAGTAGTTAGGGTTCATTCAGTTCTGGAAGACAAACAGGTACAGGAGGAATAAGAAATGTAAAGAGCAGGAGGAAAAGCCTAAAAAGATTTTATGGCCCAGAAATCAGGTGCCTTCTTTTGGTGTCAGACAACCCTTGGTCTAAGCCCCAAGTTTCCCACTTGTTAGCTTTGTGGCCCTATGTCTTTGAGCCTCCATTTTTTTTCCTTTGAAAAATGAGGATAGCAAGAGATGCTTTTTTATAGGAGTGATGAGGGGATTGAATGGGAAATGCATTATCAGGTGAGCGGCACAGTGATGGGCGTGCAGAAAGGGCTCAGTGTAAGTAGATTATTGGTAGTATACATGTCAAGTCCCTGAAGGCAGAGACAGAGCACTTCCTGAAATTATTCTGTAATAATTTTGCAGTTTTACTAAAAGATTTAAAGAACAATATAACAAGCATTATGGATTTTATTTTAAAGGGGAAATACTGCTAGAATATTTTGTGAAAGTGTTTCAATCTCTGTCTAAAGTTCTGGACCTCAGATGTCCCTAACCTGCTGATGCTCCCATTTATACTACTACTGATACATTATTAGAAATTTTATAATATGGGCGCCTGGGTGGCTCAGTGGGTTAAACCTCTGCCTTCAGCTCAGGTCATGATCTCAGGGTCCTGGGATTGGGGCTCAGTGGGGAGCCTGCTTCCCTCTATCTCTCTGCCTGGCTCTCTGCCTCTCTGCCTACTTGTGATCTCTCTCTGTCAAGGAAATAAATAAAATCTTTTTAAAAAAGAAATTTTATAATATAACTATAGTAATATGATATTGATGTGATGATGATAATATTTACATACAAGCAATATATTTATTATAGTTATCTATACATGATACAGTTATATTATAAGTATTAATTTTTCTTCCCTTGCTTTTGTCCTACATTACCAGCTCTGGAAACTATGGACTCATGGTTGGAAAAACCACACCAAACCAAATCTAACCTAGCCATATCTAGTGACTTTGAGAAGGTCATGCTAAGAAAGGCTTGTCATCACACTGTCTTGTTCAAATTCCCTGAAACATTTACTCTTCTAGATGTTGGAGGCAAAAAGATGAATGAGATGTGATGTCAAGCAAAATGCTGACAAGAAGCATTCAGTCTGGGTGCGGGGGGAGACATATGGGTGGCCATAGCATGTAATATAACCTTGAGGGGTTTTGAAGAAACCTTATGGCTTAGAAAACTTAGGGCACTCAAGGAGACAGCAGCCTTCAGTGTGAGTGGGAGGGATGACATCAGTCAATGAGAATGTGGTCTTGAGCTTGGAGCTGAAGGACAGTTTCCCATCCATCTACCTAGTGGGCAGGTAGAAGGGCTCCAGGAAACCATGTGAGCCATGGATGAGTACAGGGAGTTTGAGGAAACTGCTGGGGAGGAGGCAAGCATTGGAGCCCACTTGAACTGAGAGGAGGTGTCCTGATGCTCAGAGCTGAGTTGGCCGGTGAAGTTCCAAGTTGTCTCGATACAGACATCTGGTGCCCTGAGATGGGGGCCAACCTCACCTCCACTTGAAGCAGGGAAATAATGGTTTTGTTTGGAGTTCTCTTTCAAGAAATAGAAGCCTTGGGAATGCACTGGGGAATGCACTGGGGTATCCCAGAGGACCTGGGACAAGACACAGTGGGTGTGAGCAAGAGAAGGGGTGGCGCTCATACTTGCCAGGACCCACCAGGGAGACACTCCACATAGTGGTCACATCTAATTCCCAAGTCTCATCCTTGGGCTATGGACACCATTTTATTTTATAAATGAGGGAAATGGAAGCTCAGAGAAGGTAATGGCCAAGGCCATTCAGCTAGCTGGTGATAAGCTAAAACTTGAGTTCAGATTTGCTTGACTCCAGAATCCAAGCTCTTTCTACTTTAGTGGTTTAGAACACATGTTCTGCGTCTTACCCATTGCGGGCAAGGCACTTGACTTTGGTTTGCCTCAGTTTCCCCCGTCCATAAAATGGAGCTAATAACTGTGCTTGACTCAGAAGTGTCGCTGAGAGGCTTAATCTGGTTCATAACCACCTGGTGTGCTGTATGTGACTCACATACATAGCTGTTTTTATTTTATTATTATCATCTCATGTTGTTTTCCTTATGACAACGACACGTGTTTAATGTGAGCTTCTTGGAAGAGATGATCCAAAATGGTTGGAAAGCATTTTGTACATGCAATATTACTTGTAACTATACTTCATGATATATATATATTGACATTTGTTTATAGCTAGAGTGACCATATTAGTTTAAAAACAGTGGAATTCTATGCATATGTGTCAAATGAATGGCCTTGTGCCATTGCCCCCTCCTCCTGAGTCAACAGCAGATGTCCCTAATGGTTACTGTCTTCTGTTGAACACAAACATGGCTTAAGAATCCATCATAACCCAAGGGCAATGGCAGCTGCAGACCAAGGTGATGACCCTTTTTGCCATCTGAGGCTGGAGATCCGAAGAGGGGGGTTCCAGCCAGTTACCTAGGACAACTGGCTTTGTTCAATTCAGTGACCAACCACTCAGCCCAAACGTGGTTGAGCTTTTTGGCAAATTCCTACCATTATCCAATCAAAGACTTTTGGGAGGACATTCTGAAAACCAAGCCCTCCCTCTGGACACAACCTAGAGCCTGTCCTTCCTGATGGGCCCAATGTCCATGTGGATGAGGCAAATGAGAGATTGCAAAGACATCCTCACAATTATAGGTGACAGGTGTCATCGCAATCCAGATGGGTCCTGACCTCTCCTACGGTTTCCCTCTTTCTCTTACCTCCAACAGGCAGAAATATTTGAGAAGTTGGGAATTTGCTCCATGCTCAGATTTCTCAAATTATTGCAAGCTTTTGTGAGAATAAAGAAAGACGATAGACTTATGGTAACTGACCTGTATTTTGGGACCATACCTGTGAGGCTGTTCCAGCCCAAGGCAGCGCCTTCTGGCCCGCGGCGAGGCATCATCTTCTTCCCTGGAGGAGGCGGGTTCATGGGGAGCCTGGGTAAGAACTTCATCTATGTGCACAGCTTTGGCCACCCTTCCCATGAGAACCTTTTTGGAATAACTTAAAGGAATCAGCAGTTGGGGATTTTTATAGGGAGCCCAGACTAAGGGCTCTGGGCTCACGTCAGCAGATGGTGTGCATATCTATATAGAAGGTGTTCTTTTCTGTATTGTAATAGTTCTCGGTCAAGGTGAGGCTAGTGCTGTGTCTCAGTCGGGCTTTCACGGACGGCACTGGGGTATTGATTCCTCTTTCCCTCACCACTCACTGACACCACTGGCTATTCCTAGCTGTTCTCCCACACTGCATCCCAAACCCATGCATTTCTCCTAGGCTCTGAACCCCACCATGATCCAAGACCCCATCTTCTCTTGCCTGCCCCCTTGACCCTCTTGCTTCTCCTGTTGCTTCTCAGTCCGTTCCTCACCTGGCAGCCAGAAAGAGCTTTTAAGGAAATAAAAGCCAGAGCTTCCAAGGCCTGTGCCAAACCTGCTGGTTGCTCTCCAGTGCCCTTAGATGGAACCAAGCTCTCAGGCCCTGATAGCTTTGGAGGCCCCTGCCCACCTTTCCGACCAGGTTCCCTGGGTCTCTCTCCTCCCAAAGCAGTTCCCTGCAGCCACAGCTACATGGCTTGCCTGTGTTCCAGACACTCCCGGCTCCTCCTAACTCTGAATCCTCTGCACTTGCTGTCTGGGCCTCCCCAAAAGCTGTCTCGCCCCTCTTGGCTTTGCTTCACTGGCGGGTCCTTGATTGTCCTTCCAGTCCCTCCTCAGAGCTGCCTCCCTGAACACCTTACCTAAGGAACCATCCCTTAAGAGTGCTATGCCCCTGTCTCCATCCCTGACATCATCCCTTTACGTTTTCTTTATGGCACTTGTCACCGTCTGAATTTATCTGGTTCCTTCTCATGCATCCTTATTTACAGTCTCTCTTCTGCACCTAAAAATGGAGACTCCAAGCGTGCCCAGAAGACTTGTGTTTTCTTTTCTGTCTCCTCCCCAATGCCTTGCCTGTGGCTTTACATTTTCTAATGACTCTCCGGGTGCATGAATATGGAATATGGATGGGTGGATAATCAGGTGAAAGGATGTGTGCATGAATGAACACGCAAATGGATGGACAGAAGGATGGACAGATGGTTGGACGCCAGCGAGGTCCCTGGAATTAGGGTGTACTGCCACCTGGTGGTGGAAATAACAACAGCCTCATTTGCTACCAAGATGCTCTCCTCCTTCAGAGGTCCCACCTACCCGCCCCAAGACAGTTCTTCCCTTTCAGAGGCCTCCAGGAGCACCCCATTAGGGGACTAGGCCTGTTAGCCTTCCTCCGTGGGCCACGATGTTATTTCTAAAAGTAAATCCAGGACGCATTCAGCAAATATTCCCTGAGTATTTACCTACCTTGTGTCAGACTCTCTTCCAGGTCTAGGGGACCGAGTGGAGAACAAGGAAGACCCTCATGGAGTCTACTCAAACGAGGAGGCCGGGCAGTGAAAGAGAAAACGAACAAGTTAGGGTCATTTCACAGAGTGAGAGCACGAGGAGATGGAATAGAGAATGATTTAGATGCATCGTTAGTTTTTCCTGACAAAGCCTCTCCAAAAAGTAAAATTTGAGCCCAGGCCCAAGCAACCAATGAGTAAGATCCGGCCCTACAGAGGCTGGGAAACACCCTCTGGGGACCGGGGAGGCAAGAAAGCCTGGGGTGGGGGGCTGTATGTTGAAAGGGGCACCGAGAAACACAGTCTTCAAGATTAATAATATTTTTATGCAGGTTATTCGAAAATTCAATGATAATGCAAAAAAAAAAAAGTCCTATGATGAACACACGGTCAGCGTTCATCGAGTGGTGGGATCCAATGGGGACGGCTGAATTGTACAAAGGCAAGGTAGGCTCTCGTCTACTTGAGATTGTCATAGGGAAATCCGTTCATCATGGATCCTGGTGGCATTTACTTGGATTCCCTAAAGCAGTATTTATGTTGGTTGCTGAGCCTCTCGGCGCCCAGGGCAGGTGCGTCCCTCGCCTCCTGCCCTGTTAGGTCTACGCGGAAGGGAGCGCAAGCGCAAAGCCCGAAACAGGGGCTTGAGGGAAAGGAAGTAATGTCCCAGGGAGGCAGAGCAGGGAAGCGGGGGAAATGGCGTGGGGAGGGCCAGCCGCCGTCTCCACACAGGCTGTGCTTTGAAACCCACCCCCTGTCCCGCCTCCGGGGTGTTTTAGAGTCATCTCCACACCCAGGTCCTGCCCAGGCCGCGTCCAGCTCAGCGGTGGGGCCCAGGCACCAGCATTTTAAAAAAAGCTCCCAGGTGATGCTGATCTGCGAGCAGGGTGGCCTCCTTAGGAGCTGCTTGCTCCCCAATCCAATGTGACTTCTCCTCCATCACCTCCCCTGAGCGGTGTCAATGAAGCCTGCACTCCCTGACCCCCTCGCCCCCCCCAACCCATCACTTCTCTCAGTCAGATCAGTCATTCCCAACTTCCCGGTTGTTGGCCTCGTGGGCGTGATCTGGGAGCTTCTGCTGCTCGTTCCCCAGCCCCAGAGACACTGGTTTGGTTGGTTTGGGGCTCCGCCTGGGCATCAGGACTTGGAAAAACTCTCTGGTACAACTATGCAGAACCAAGGGGGACCCCCACTGAATTAGAGGCTTATGTGGTACATATATGGTCTGGCACTGTGCCAGCCTGGCTCATGTACTGTTGAGAATGGACTTGTCCTCTGAGAACCTCAGAGGTACCACTCGGCTAATAGCAATGGCCCATCCCTCCATTGCTTCTTTCTTAGTAACACATATCTGTATGTACGTGTGTGTAATTATCATTAACATTCTAGGGCAGGCCTACCTCCCTTCCCTGGTCTTGTTCCTCCCTGGTCCTCAGTCCCCACCCCTCCACCCCCACTGTAAAAGGAAATGTTGCAGCTGGTGAGTCCCTGAGGTGCATCCGAGCCCCAACATCTAGGAACCAGGGGCAGATGTCACGTGTCCGATATGTGGTCTGGTTTTTGGTGTTGCCCAGGCAGAGCCACCCAGAGTCACTGCAGAGGAGGCAAGAACAGGGACAGAAAGAGAACATCACACCCAAAGCTGAAAACCGACACGACTGACAGGCTCTGCCTGAGGTCCCAGGAAGGGGTGGAGGTGGGGGTGGGCAGGGATGACATCCCTAGAGGCCACTCAGGGTGGCTGCTGCTGTGACCAGTTCTACTCTTGTAGACCTCTTCCACAGCCTGAGCAGTTTGCTGGTCCTGGAGACGGACTCCGTGCTGCTGTTGGTTGGGTGAGTTGCTGGAGAAAGTCAGTGGGGGTCACAGGGGTGGGAGAAGGCAGGCATGAGCACGTGGCTGGTTTGTAGAAGAGAGAGAGAGAGAGACCCTAACCCCCAAGAGGCACTCTTGCACGTGCACGCACGGACCCAGGCACGGCACTGTTCAAAAGGGCGAAAACCCAAAAACAACCCAAACGCCCATCAACACAGAGTGCTTGAAAAACCATGGCAAGAAGCAAGTGTGGGCGAGGGTGGGGAGAAAAAAGAGCCCTTCCAGACTGTTATGCACAGCCACTGTGGAAGACAGTGCGGAGGTTACTCAAAAAAATAAAAAATAGAACTACCCCATGATCTGGTCATTGTACTCCTGGGTATTTACCCAAGGAATAGGAAAACACTAATTTGAAAAGATATATGTGCCCTTGTGTTTATTGCAGCATTATCTACAAGAGCCAAATTATGGAAGCAACCTTAAGAGTCCATCAAGAGGTGAATGGATAAAGATGTGAGATATATATATATATTTTTTTCTTTTTTCAACCATAAAAAAGAATGACATCTTTTTTAACTTTTAACTTCTTTTAATCAGTGATTCATCACTTACATACAACACCCAGTGCTCATCACAAGTGCCCTCCTTAATACCCATCACCCAATTACCCCATCCCCCTACCCATCTCCCTCCATCAACCCTCAGTCTGTTCTCTATCATTGAGTCTCTTATGGCTTGCCTCCCTCTCTCTAAAAAGAATGAAATCTTGCCATTTGCAACAACATGGATGGAGCTAGAGAGTAATGCTAAGGGATAGAAGCCAGAGAAAGAGAAATACCATACAACTTCAATCACATGTAGAATTTAAGAAGCAAAACAAGTGAACAATGGAAAAAAAGACACAGATAAAAAAACAGACTCTTTTCTCCTTTTTTTTTTTAAAGTGATTATTTAAATTCCAGTTAGTTAACGTACATACATAACTAACATCCAGTTAGTTAACCTAGTACAGTACAATGTACTATTAGTTTCCGGTGTACAATATAATGACTTAACACTTCCACACATCACCAGGTGCTCATCACCACAGGGGCACTCTTTAATTCTCGTCCCCTATTTCCCCCATCCTCCTCCCCTCTGGTAACCATTAGTTTGTTCTCTGTAAGTAAGAGTCTGTTTCTGTTTGCCTCTCTCTCTTTACCCCCCTTTGCTCATTTGTTTTGTTGCTTAAATTCCACATGAGTGAAATCACATGGTATTTGTCTTTCTCTGACTGACTTATTTCACTTAGCATCCACCCATGGATGCTAGCTCCATCCATGTCATTGAAAATGGCAAGATTTCCTTCCTTTTTAAGGCTGAGTAATATACTGCTGTGTATATACACCACATCTTCTTTATGCATTCATCAGTGGATGGACATTTGGGATCTCTTCCACAGTTTGGCTATTGTAGATACTGTTGCTGTAAACATTGCAGGTGCATGTACCCCCTTTGAATCTGCATTTTTATATCCTTTGGGTAAATACCTAGTAGTGCAATTGCTGGATCATAGGGTTGTTCTATTTTTAACTGTTTGAGGAAACTTCAAACTGTTCTCAGAACGGCTGAACCAGTTCCCATTCCCACGAACATTGGAGCAGGATTCCCCCTTCTCCATGTCCTCACCAACACCTATTATTTCTTGTGTTGTTCATTTCAGCCATTCTGACAGGTGTAAGGCGGTATCTCATCGTGGTTTTGATTTGTATTTCCCTGATGATGAGTGATGTTGAGCATGTTTTCATGTGTCTGTAAGCATTCTGGATGTCTTCCTTGGAAAAGTGTCTGTTCATGTCTTCTGCCCATTTCTTAACTGGATTATTTGTATTTTGGGGTGCTGAGTTTGATAAGTTCTTTATACATTTTGGATACTAACCCTTTATCAGATATGTTGTTTGCAAATACTTTCTTCCATTCTGTAGGCTGCCTTTTAGTTCCGTTGATTATTTCCTTCACTGTTCAGGAGCTTTTTATCTTGATTAAGTTCCAATAGTTCATTTTTGCTTTTGTTTCCCTTGCCTCCGATGATATGTCTAGTAAGAATTTGCTGTGGCTGAGGTCAAAGAGGTTGCTGCCTGTGTTCTGCTCTAGGATTTTGACAATTTCCTGTATTATGTTTAGGTCTTTCACCCATTTTGAACTTACGTTTGTGTGTGGTGTAAGAAAGTGGTCCAGTTTCATTCTTCCGCATATGGCTGTTCAGTTTTCCCAACACCATTTGTTGAAGAGACTGTCTTTTTTTCCCATTGGATATTCTTTCCTGCTTTGTTGAAGATGAGCTGGCCATAGAGTTGTGGGTTCATTTCTGGGTTCTCTATTCTGTTCCATTGATCTGTGTGTCTGTTTTTGTGTCAGTACCATACTGTCTCGATGAATAGGGCTTCGTAATAAAGCCTGAAGTCTGGAATTGTGATGGCACCAGCTTTCCTTTCTTTTTCAAGATTGCTTTGGCTATTCTGGGTCTTTTGTGGTTCCACACAAATTTTAGGATTGTTTGTTCTAGCTCTGTGAGAACTGTTGGTGTTTTGATAAATTACATTAACTGTGGAGATTGCTTTGGGTAGTTTAGACATTTTAACAATGTTTATTCTTCCAATCCATGAGCATGGAATGCTTTTCCATTTCTTTGTGTCCTCTTCAATTTCTTTCATGAGTGTTTTATAGTTTTCAGAGGACATATCTTTTACCTCTTTAGTTAGGTTTAATTAGTTATCTTATTGTTTGTGGTGCAATTGAAAATGGGCTTGATTCCCTTTTCTGTTGCTTCCTTATTGGTGTATAGAAATGCAACAGATTTCTGCACATTGATTTTATATCCTGCAACTTTGCTGAATTCATGTATTAGTTCTAGCAATTTTTGATGGAGTCTTTCAGGTTTTATACATAGAGTATCATGTCATCTGCAAACAGTGAAAGTTTGACTTCTTCCTTGACAATTTTGAGGCCTTTTATTTCTTTTTATTGTCTGACTGCTGAGGCTAAGACTTCCAGTACTATGTCAAATAGTAATGGGGAAGGTGGACATTCCTGTCTCGTTCCTGACCGTAGGGGAAAGGCTCTCAGTTTTTCCATTGAGCGTGATATTAGCTGTGGGTCTTTCATATATGGCCTTTATGATGTTGAGATATGTTCCCTCTATCTCTACTCTGTTGAGGGTTTTTATCAAGAAAGGATACTGTATTTCATCAGATGCTTTTTCTACATCATTGACAGGATCATGTGGTTCTTACCCTTTCTCTTACTAACATTACATAACTATTTAAAAAATGAACTGGGAGGACACCCCAGAATGTGAATGCATCTTAGCAGTATAAAATTAAGCGAACAGTTTTTTTTAATTACATAAAGCCTGAGACTCTTTTTATCAAGTTAAAGGCAAAATCAAAAGAATATTTGTAAGGAATATGTATAGACATTATAAAACTATGTTAAAAGGAGAGAAAAGGGATGATGGATACAGGATTCAAGGTAACTGTTCTCTCAGATGGGGAAAGCAGTGAGATAAGATGCTGGTGGGGATATTACAGGGTTGGTTGAAGGTTATGGTCAAGGTCCTGGCTGTTGTTTGGGGTGATGGTTCTGCACGTGTTTATTGTGTTGTCAAAACAACTAACTAACTGCAGGGATAAATGCCAGGAATGTCTCAAGACACAAGAACACACTGGGCAACAGTTTCAAGAAGGCAAGTGAAAGAAACTAAAAACTGCTCTTTTAGATTCAACCTCTACACTCAAGGCCTTTCAAATCTTGGCTGTCCCCAGGCTGAGTAGACAGTGCATCTGTGTGTCCTAAAGCAATTTAAAGAACACCTCTGGTCTTCTTTATGAGATTGAGGAAGGCAATGTCTTTCTGGTACTTGACATACTTCCTGACCAGCTCAGCATTGTGTCCTAAAATACCGTTGATAAGAGTTTCTGTCAGAATCTACATCTGAGAAGAACTTTGTGGTAATGAAAATACTCCTTGAACACATAAAAGTGTTAAGGAACACCTGCATGAAAAACTTGCAGGAAATTGCTTAGGATACTGTTATTCTGGAGAGTTGAAAAGACCCACGGGGTGCCTGGGTGGCACAATCCATTAAGCATCTGACTCTTGATTTCGGCTCAGGTGATGATCTCAGGGTTGTGAGATCAAGCCCTATGTTGGGCTCTGTGCTGAGCATGGAACCTGCTTAAGATTCTCTCTCCTTCTCCTTCTGCCTCTCCCGCTGTTGCTCTCATGCTCTCTCTCTCTCTCTCTCAGAAAAGGATTTCCTTCCTTCTCATGGCCATATAATAATTTATTGTGGTGTACACATCTAGAAGTTCATTTTAAAGTCCTTTCTCTTTGCCCTTGAACTCCCATGAAGGGATACACTCTGGGGGTTTACTCAGAGCCGCCCTCTGGATGCTCCCCATAGCCAGAACAGTGTCTGTTTCCTGCCTGCCCACCTTTCCTCACCTTCACCCTCATGGTGCCTTCCAACCTGCTCCCTTTCCCCCAAACCCTGAAGGAAAGACAGCCACTTGAGTCATTAGTAAGAACAAACCTTGGTCATTAGATTTCTGAAGGAAAAATAAAATTCTTCCTGAAAGAAACTTCCCCTTTATTTTTTAAAGATTTTATTTATTTATTTGACAGAGAGAGAGAGAGAGAGATCACAAGTAGGAAGAGCAGCAGGCAGAGAGAGAGGGGGAAGCAGGCTCCCTGCTCAGCAGAGAGCCTGATGCGGGGCTCCGTCCCAGGACCCTGAGATCATGACCTGAGCTGAAGGCAGAGCCTTATCCCACTGAGCCACCCAGGCACGCCAAGAAACTTACCCTTTATTTGAGCTTTAGTTCCCTCAGCCCTTCCTCTCCAGGTAGCCAGTGGGACGAACAGCAACTTCCTTTGCCTTTCCTGGTATTACTGGTTGTTTTGCTTCCACTTCAAATAGCTTTTGAGTTGGATAATTTTGTGTGGGGTGTGTGCGTCTCCTGGCAGCAGACGGAGCCTAGTGTTGGAGTCAAGAATCCCTGCCTTGAAGACAAAGGGGAGGCTCTTCACATCCTCATCTCCATAAAAGGGGGATAAAAATCCCTTCCTATCAGGGCCATTCTCAGGGATTTAGTCAGAGACAGTACTGCAAGGAGGAGTCGAGGACACAGGTAAAATGGCTCCCAGCAGCTGTTCACACCGTGATGCTTTTGTTCCCTGCTTGCTTCTCAGGTACCGGAAGCTTCCTGATCACCATTACCCCAGCATTCACCAAGACTGTCTGAACGCCTCCATTCACTTCCTGAAGGCCCTGAAAACCTATGGGGTGGACCCCTCCCGCGTTGTGTTATGTGGAGATAGCACTGGGGGAGGGCATGTGGCCTCTATCACCCAGGCTCTGGTGGGCAGATCGGATCTTCCCCAGATCAGGGCCCAGGTCTTGGTTTATCCAGTTACCCAGATCATCAATTTGCAGCTGCCGTCCCACTTGCAGAACCGAAATGTCCCGTTCCTCTCCCAGAAGTTCATGATGATATGTATGTTCAAATATATGGTTATCGACTTTCACTGGTGGGACGCCATCTTGGGCGGTGCTTTCATACCCCAGAAGTCTGGAGAAAGGACCGGAAGTGGCTCAGCGCGGACAACATTCCCAGCAGATTCAGAAAGCCAGGCTACCGACCTGTTTCCCGGCCCTTTTAATGAGGCTGCCTACCTGGAAAACAAACATATTTTCGACATAGAAAATGCCCCTCTGCTCAGGGATGATGAGACCATCGCTCAGCTTCCTGCAGCCTTCGTGGTAAGCTGTGAGCATGACATCCTCCACGATGATGCCTTGCTCTATATGAAGCGGTTGGAGGACCAGGGGGTCCCCGTGACGTGGTATCACGTGGAAGATGGCTTTCGTGGGTCCTTGATATTATTTGATAAGAAGTTTTTCTCTTTCCCATGCTCCCTGAAAATTACAAATGCTGTCATCAGTTATATAAAAAGCATATAGTAACCCTGGGGCTCCAGTGTCCTTTGGTGAATTCTCTTTTGCTGATTAAGGAGATGCTCAGTCAATGCTCGGCCCACACAAGAAGGATAAGGAGCCTCGGAACAGTCTTGCTTAGTACCTAAGAAAATCCAAAATGTTGCTGTTTCTTTCTGGCACCAACAGTGGTTAATCCTGGATCTAGCAATACTCGCCATCATTCTCACTTAGGTGAAATAAATATCAAAGGGAGGGAAAAAAAGGTCTTTGAAATTTTCTCAAAGCCCTAACACACAACCTCTGTGTAGAGTGAATGCCAACAGTTGGTCATACTGTCCCTGGTGAGTCTGTACTCAGGACGCTAAAGCTAAAGCCCAGCTTGGGGTCACGCTGCCTGTTGGAGGAGGGGACACCTAATTGTTCTTGGGGTCAGAGGTCACCAGTGAAATTCCAACAGACTGGTTCCAGATTAGTCTCCAGTCAGAGAAATGCTGTTGCAGTAGAACTCTTGCTCAAGTCAGCCATCCATTGGCTGGACTATAGGCAGATTTCAGGGGAGGTGATTGGAAAAAGAGATGGGAAAGAGGGAAGAGAGAGCCCATGTGGGAAAGAATGGGCTCTGGTGGGCTATGGATGTTGTCTGGGCTCACATCTTTAATCTGAATTTCAAAATCAGATCCCTGGCTACCAAGAGGCAGGCTCTCAGCGACAAGGCTGTCTTGGGAACCTCTGGATGCCATCTGAATCTGCAAACTGCATTCTCAAAGACAGACACCTTACTATACCTTTCTCTGGTGATCTTATGTATCATTCCCACTTTTACAAAGAAACTTGCCCTAAGGGTGCCTGGTCAGCTCTGTTGGTAGAACCTACGACTCTTGATCTTGGGGCTGTGAGTTTGAGCCCCATGCTGTGTGTAGAGATTATTTTTAAAAAATAAAATCTTAAAAAATAAAAAAGATTTTTTGGTCTTTGCTTAGCCCATACCACTTTCTCTGCTCACAGTGAAAGGGAAGAGAATCTTGACACTGAATGCCAGCGCAGCCCACATTAGTTTTTACATGGGCCCATGTTTGTTAGATACTTCTCTAATAACACCGAGCCTCACTGCTGTCTAGATCCATGCAAGTGCTGGAGATGGAGGTTTTCCTTCTCTTGGTACCAAGGACCTCACCTATGATCAGTGGAAGAGGGGTCTTACAGGTGTCTTGGATCCTTGCAAAGAAAGCAAATACCTACACAGGGAGTTTGGATTGGGCTTCTCAGGACATGGGTAGGCATCATGATTCATGTGTTATATGCGAGCAGCTTTGATGGAAGAGTTTGTTAGTTACCATTCCTGGATGATGACTTTACAGTAAACTTAATGGCTTAAAATAATACACATTTATTATTTCACAGTTCCTGTGGATCTGGAGTCTGAGAACAGCTTACCTATAATCGAGGTGTGGGGCTGTAGTCTCATTCGTGTCTTGACTTCCAAACTCAGGTCATTGGCAGAATTCAGTTTCTTGAGGTTGTAGACTGAGGACTTCAGTTCTTTTCTAGCCAGAAGTCACCCCTATACTCTAGAAGCCACTCATAGTTTCTTATCATTTGAGATACCCAAATGACTGCTTACTTTCTTCAAGTGACTAAGGGAGAGACAGAGTCCAGCAAGATGGCCACTAAAATCTAAAGTACTTACAAACATGTAATCACATATATGTCATCACCTTTGCCATATTCTGTTAGTAACAAATTGCTGGTCTTGCCCATACAAGGGGATCATACAAGTGTGTGAATGTCAGGGCATGGAGACCATGGGGACCACCATAGTCTGTTCACCACCAAAGGTCTCACCAGAAGATTATTAATTAAAAAAATAATCGTGGAGACAAATGCAAATGAAAACACAATGGTCCAAAATCTTTGGGATGCAGCAAAAGCTGTTCTGAGAGGGAAGTTTATAGCAATACAGGACTACCCCCAAGAAGCAAGAAAAATCTCAAATAAAACCCCTAACCTTATACCTAGAGGAACTAGAAAAAGAACAAACAAAATCCCAAATCAGTAGAAGGAAGGGAATAATAAAGATTAGAGCAGAGATAAATAAAATAGAACCCTCCCCTCAAAAAGCAAACAAACAGTAGAATAAATCAATGGAACCGGAGCTGGTTTTTTGAAAAAAAAAAAAAAAATTGATAAACATTTAGCCAGACTCAGAGAGAGAGAAAGAGAGAGAGAGAGAGAGAGAGAGAAAAAACGAAAACACAATAAAAAATGAAAGCAGGGAAATAACAACAAACATTATAGAAACATAAAGGATTGTAAGAGAATATTATGAAAAATTTTATGCCAACAAATTCAACAGTGTAAAAGAAATAAATAAATTCCTAGAAACATGAATCAGGAAGAAATAGGAAATTTGAACAGATCAGTTACCAGCAATGAAATTGCATCATAAACAAACAAACAAACAAACAAAAACTCCCAACAAACAAAAGTCCAGGATCACAGGTGAATTCTACCAACATTTAAAGAAGCGTTAATACCTGTTCTTCTCAAACTATTCAAAAAAAAAAAAAAAAAAAGGAAAGGAAGGAAAACTTTCAAATTCATCCTATGAGGCCAGCATTTTCCTGATACCAAAACCAGATAAAGATGTGACCAAAAAAGGGAACTACAGGTCAGTATCTCTTGATGAACATAGATGCAAAAATCCTCAACAAAATATTAACAAGCCAAATCCAACAATATATTAAAAAAATAATTCACCATGTTCAAATGAGATTTATCCCTGGAATGGAAGTGTAGCTCAATATTCACAAATCAATTAACACAAGACATCACATCAATGAGAGAAAAAATAAAAACCATATAATCATTTTAATATATGCAAACATATAATATTTGGCAAAGTAAAAAATCTATTCAGGATAAAAGACCTCAACAAAGTAGGTCTAGAGGGAATGTACCTCAACATAATAAAAAACCCACAGATTTGAAAAACCTACAGCTAACATCACAGTCAATGGTGAAGGACTGAGAATTTTTTTCCCCTAAAATCAGGAATAAGACAGAGATGTCCACGCTTACCACTTTTGTTCAACATAGTACTGGAAATCCTAGCCACTGCAATCAGACAAGAAAAAGGAATAAAAGGCATCCAAGCTAGTAAGGAAGAAGTAAAGTTTTCACTATCTATAAATGGCATGATACTATATAGATAACCCTAAAGATTCCACCAAAAAACTACTAGAATTGATCAACTAAGTCAGTAGGGTCACAGAATGCAAAATCCATGTACAGAAATCCTTTGCGTATCTATTCCCTCATAATGAAGCAGCAGAAAGAGAAACTAAGAAAATGATTCCATTTATAATCATACCAAAAATAATAAAATACCTAGGAATGAACTTACCCAAGGAGGTAAAAGGCCAGTACTCTGAAAACTATGATATACTGATGAAAGAAATTGAAAATGACACAAACAAATGGAAAGACATTCTAAGCTCATGGATTGGAAGAACAAACATTGTTAAAATGCCCGTACACCCAAAACAATCTACACATTCAAAGCAATCCCTATCAAAATACAAATAGCATTTTTCACAGAGCTAGAACAAAGAATCCTAAATCCCTGAATAGCCAAAGCAATCTTGAAAAAGAAAAGCAAAGCTGGAGGCAGTCCAATTCTGGACTTACAGTAATATTACAAAGCTGTAGTAATCAAAACTGTGCGGTACTGGCACAAAACTAGGTACATTGATCAATAGAACAGAATAGAAAATCTAGAAACAAACCCACAGTTAATCTTTGACAAAGCAGGAAAGAATATCCAATGGGAAAAAGACAGTCTCTCCAACAAATGTGTTGGGAAAACCAGACAGCTACACACAAAAGAATGAAACTGGATCACTTTCTTTCAATATGCCTAAAAATAAACTCAAAATGCATTAAAGACTGAAATGTGAGACCTGAAACCATAAAACTCCTAGAAGAGAGCACAGACACTAATTTCTCTGATGTCAGCCATAGCAGCATTTTTCTAGGTACGTCTCATGAAGCAAGGGAAATTAAAGCAAAAATAAAACTCTTGGTACTTCATCAAAATAAAAAGCTTCTTCACAGCAAAGGAAACAATCAACAAAATTTAAAGACCACCTACTGAATGGGAGAAGATATTTTCAAATGACATATCTGATAGAGAGTTATATCCACAATATATAAAGAACTTATAGAACTCAACACCAAAAAAACAAATAATCCACTTAAAAAGTGGGCAGAAGACATGAACAGACATTTCTCTAAAGAAGGCATCCAGATGGCCAACAGACGCATGAAAAGATGTTTAACATCACTCATCATCAGAGAAATGCAAATCAAAAGCACAATGTGGCATCACACACATGACTAAAATAAAAAATATGAGAAACAACAGGTGTTGGTGAGAGTGTGGAGGAAAGGGAACCCTCTTGAACTGTTGGTGGGAATGGACACGAATGTAGCCACTCTGGAAAACAGTATGGAGTTTCCTCAAAAAAAAAAACTAAAAATAGCGACAACATATGATCCAGTAGTCATATGTACTACTGGGTATTCCCCAGAATATGAAAATATTTCATATTTATAAGAATACCAAAACACTAATTCAAAAGGATATATGCACCCCTATGTTTACAGCAGCGTTATCTACAACAGCCAAATTTGGAAGAAGCCCAAACATCCATAGATAGATGAATGGATCAAGAAGAGGTGGTATATAATGGAATTATTCAGCCAAAAAAAAAAAAAAAAGAAGGCATGAAATCTTGCCATTTGCAATAATGTGGATGGAGCTAGAGAGTATAGTGCTAAGTGAACTGAGGCAGAGAAAGACAAATACCATGTGATTTCACTCATCTGTGGAATTTAAGAAACAAAACAAATGAATAAAGGGTAGGGCAGGAGACCAAACAAAAAACAGACTTAACAATAGAGAACAAACTGATGGTTACCAGAGGGGAGGTGGGTGAAGGGATGGGGGACATAAGTGGAGGGGA